TTTTAAAACCTGAAAATAACCTATGCAGCTGCAGACATAAACATTGTTGTACTTTGTCTCCATCTGCTGGTAATACTTAGTCATGCATCCATTAACTTGCATGGAGCTTTAACTCCTTCAGTTAACACCAGCATTCATATTGTATGTGTTACTGGTGTCTTATCTATCTTTGCATCTGGTTTATTCAAACATTTTAGCTGTTGATTTTGGTCTTTTCCTTGCTTTTTTTTTTTTTTTTTTTTTACACCTCCGCAGGGGAAATGCTGACTTGCTTTGCTGCATAACTTCCTGGCTTATCGGGTGTATGAGCAATATCTTATTTAATTTAATTTGAATTACTGTGGTAAACTGGTCTTCTTTTGGTAAATACTGAAAACAATTGAAGGTCTGGTGGATGATTTTTTCTCAGCTTCAAGTTCCAGAGCATTCATCCATCCTTGGTCCAACACACCTGAATCAAAGGGCTGACTTACCTCCTCAGTATGCAGTCAGTTCCTTCAGTCCTCTCAATAATCTAATTACTTGATTCAGGTGTGCTGAACCAGAGTCACATCTAAAAGTTGCAGGATACAGGCCCTCAGGAACTGGAATTGCCCACTGCTGATCTAAACTGTCATGCTTGCCTAATGCCATTGTGCAGATTTGTTTCCATTGCTGTGCATGTGCACTAGCATTTATGTATCCTATGAGTTTCAGTAGATTAAAGCTGAATCCGAATTGAAGCCAAACTACGCTGATAAATGAGCGGATTGGGCGAAGGAACGCCTCCAAGGTTTGCTTTTAGACAATAGCCATGAGAAACTACAACTTATGCTCAAGTTGAAGTCTTGGATTCTGAAAAAAATGATGTGATTGCATCAACAATGCCTAGACCCTGCCTGTAGGCGCGGAATGTCTCACTTACATAGCTGCATGCAGTGTTGGAAGTAACAATTATGCTTATTAATTCGTAACTGTTTTTTATAAAGTAGTAATGCATGCTCTGAAATCAAAGGCAAATTTTTTCTCTAATTTGCTCATTATTTGCAAGAACAAAGATACAGTTTGTTTTATATTTATATATAAATGTTGGTTAGAAGCATCTCTAATCTTATCTCATGTCATCTCAACACTGACTGACAGCAGGTTGCCCAATTGTTTCTTTTTACTTTCTCTGTTTACGGTTTTTCACACAAAAATACTACAGTATGACTTTTTTTTGTCATACTTTTTGTTTGTTCTTTTTCTGGAATAGTGTAAGGCAAGTTTATTTGTAAAGCACAATTCCGTACATGGAAAATTCAAAGGGCTTTACATGAATTAGATAATAAAATAAGAGAAATATAAAAGCAAATGAAGATTAAAGAAAAAAAAACATGCAAAACCAATAAAAAGAAATTGTATCACAACCGTGAACTCAAATACCTCAGTTTACAGTTTAACTTCAACAGTCAAAGGCAGCTCTAAACAAATAACAAATAATCAAAATAACTTTGACTTAAAAAGATTTAAAAGTGTAACCCCTGTATAATTTATATTTCATTTAAAGTCAATTTTATTTTTGTTGAATTCATGGAAAAGCATACTTTTTCAGCGTTATACTTTTTTGGAATCCAGTTGAAACCTAAACCATCTAATTTGAAAAGTCATCCACTATATTTTGAAGCTGACAAACAAATGAACCAAAAACAAAGTGTAAAGCACAGAAAATAAAAGCTACTAGTAATTCCTAATTTAATGCGAAAGTATGCAATCAGAGTGAGCTACTGGTGCAGAAATCTGTAATGTCATAGATGAATGGGCCCTATTATGATGCAGTAATACATGACTGAGATTTTAAAATGTTCTGAACAAATTAGTCTTTATATGAGGTATCCTCTGTTAATCTGCAGCCTCTCAAACAGGTCCTCCTCATCTTGAATAACAATCAATTCCTTATTTTATTAGTAAGTGTGCAGACAGGATCAGTTTCACAGCTTTCAGACTAAATATCTTGTTAGACTCTTTCATTTGACGACATCCCCTTTGCTGCACCTTCTGTTTCTCCACTGATTTGCCCTCATCTTTATCTGTTGCCTTGTAGAGGCTGAAGGAAATCGCACTCGCTGCAGCTTTTTCAATCATCTCAGGGAATCGTCTCAAACATTTTTCCAATGATGAAACACATCTGCCTCCAGGCTTAAAAGCCTCTCACTCATCTCTTTTCACATTTGCCTCCAGCAGATCAATACCGCTAATGAAATCTGACCTGCAGGCTTGCAGAAGAACCACTTAAGTCATGAATAGTCAGAGCAAACAGCTCACAATAAAAACAAGCAGAATCCATATTTCTGACTGAAGGAAACTGATTTGCCACAAGGGATTCTTTTATATTTTCTGCAATTCTGTAAGCAGTTATATAAAATATTTAAGGATCTCTATGTTTCAGAGTATGACAAAGGGTGGCTTATGTCCATAAGTGTACTTTTTTCTTTTCATAATCATGATAAACCAAACAGATGAACACAGCCATTTATACATGTTTTCATCCATTTTAAATCATGTTTAATTACATTCCAGGAATACATTTTGGGATTATGGATGTAAAATTATGATTAATTAAAGAAAAACATCAGATTTGTTTTTTATAGAAAAAAACTAATCATGTGATTCAAACAAATTAAATCGATCAAGTGCAATGGTCAACCCTAACCAGAAGAGGGCGCTGATGTTTTTCAAGCGGCAGGTAAAACTAATCCATGAAACAGACACAAAAATAAGTTTGAACATATTTGTCACAGTAACTGTTATTTGATATAGGAAAATTATAAATGAATTCTAAAAGTTTTTATGCAATGGACAACAAATATATCATAACATCTTCTAGTGTGGAGGCAGAGTGCTCCAGTCTAAATGAACCGTAAGATGTATTTTTGTTTTTATTTACCTTTTTGTTGTTTAACATTTTTTTTCATAAAAGTTCATTAACATTATCATTAAGTTAGATAACCTTTCCAGTAGTTTAAATGTTTATCATGACTGAGCTTCTATTTTCTGATATTTAAATTGGTTTAATGGTCTGAAATATATATATATATTTAAAGGTGTTCTGGATGTAGTTTTTTTTTTTTTTTTAAACTGTAGACTTTTATGGAGGAACTCTCTAGGTCCTTCATAGACTTTATGCTTCTGTTAGAATACAGATTTAAAGTTATTAAACAAACAACTGAAAAAGCTTCATGTCTTCAAAAGTTGGGGGGGAAAAAAAGATTGTTTTTTATTTTTATTTTTTTTACTTTTTCGGAATGACTATGACCTGGATGACTGAGAATCTTCACCAGTGATGTGGAGAGAAAGAAAGCATAGAACATGATGATGATGATGAATTGACCATATGAGTCA